AATTACTCAACCATTTTTCTCCGTGAAGGATTTTTCCTCTGCATTTCAATGGAAGACCTATAAGTTGCTAATTGCGGCTAATTAGAGTTAATGATAATATAAACGAGCAAGATGAAGTAATTAGTAAATATTTAGGTGCTGGAGAACAACAAACGAGGAAAATTGCGGAGATTTAATCTGATGAGTGGTTGCAAAGATACTTGATGGTAATGTTTATCGCGGAAATATTTCTCGAGCGAAAAGGGAATTCTGGAAACGCGAGAACATCTCGGCATTCGTTCGTGAATTCAGTTTGTGGTCGAGATGAAACATCGGTGAACGTTCGACCGATCGACATCAATAAACTCGTAATTAGACCATTCATAATGGCGGATCCGGCATGATTTAACGGATCTACGGTACATCGTCACTCTTTGCTCCCTGCTCACAAAAACTCACGCGCCGCGCGTTGCAATAGGTTTCCGATTGAGTATAATTGAACGTGACGTCGAGTAGCGTTTCCCGATATTAAACAAACACGCTAACGAATATCATTCACGGTTATTACATTGACGTCAAATACAATCGAAGCGACCGTCGTGCGCATCGAAATGCCCTATACGAACACGGTTAACAGTATCCTGGACCGTGGAAAATATAACTGTGCACACATCATAATAAGTAGATAATTATAACGTCAAATGAACAATACCGCGGGACGACGCAATAACGGCAATAACGGTTATTGGATTTTCCGATCGCCGAGCATTGTAGCTTTCGCACATTCGCGAATTCTCGCAACCGGTAAATTTTTGCGAACAGGGTTGATAAAAAACATGTTTTAAACGTGTTTTAAACAGTTTAAAACATGCTTAATTCATGTTTTTAATATGTTTTAAATATGTTTTTTTATAGTACTGTTCAAAGCATATTTGAAGCATTAAAAACATATTCAAGAAGGAACACAATGTGTTTTATTCTTAAAAAAAAAAAAAAAAAACATTAGTCTTTATCAATCCTGTTTGCGAAGGAAATTTCATGAATTTTTAATAGAATTATTATACTCGCGACGAGAGATTCGCTTGTCGGCGATTTATCCGCATCCAAGTAATTCTGATCGATTGTGAAGTCACGCGGAAGTGCCTGATTTCATTCATGCATAAGAAGAACGGATTGTCATTTTCGTGGCGCGATTGCGGTCGTACCCTTCACGCGACGCGAATGGAAAGGTCGCCGCGAAGAGACACCGCGTCGTAAGATCTCCTCGTAGCGGTACAGGGATCAAAACTTTTCAGCCAGCCAGAGCCAACTGGCGTCTCATAATTTATTCCCCCGCGAGCGAGATGGAGGAGAGAAAGAGAGAGGAACGCTTTGTAGGAACCTGAGCCACAGAGTGTAAAGAGAAAAAGTATAAGGGATATCTCCCCTCTTCTTTCTCTCTATCTTTGCGTCCCCTTTTTTTTATATCCACTCAGTAGCGTCACAAATCCTACAAACGAGTCGGAACGTATTACTCCGGTCCGTCTGTTCGTCCCTCTTTCTTACATGCCTCTCATTTTTCTTCCCCCTAACTGCCGTGGCATATCGCGGCCGCAATTCGCGACGTTTATCGTCGAGAGAGAATAAATATCTAATACAGGACTGAAAACCTTAGGTGGACGGTTGGATCACAATAACCGTAAACAATAATTTAATCCTAGGACGAAGATATATGACGGTTATGCACTAGGCATTACATGATGGTTACGTTGGTACGTACGTGGATTAAAAGAGGATTGCGTATCAACAGCTGTAGAGAGAGAGAGAGCAAGAGAGAAAGAGAGATGATGTATGTTTTTTAAATTAACGACCGACGTGGACCGGTGGAATTCCGCCGCGGGCGTTGCGGAAAATACAACGTTTCTGCCGGCGTCACGTGTTCTGCGTAATTGATGTTCGATCGATCGATCGATCGCTAATCGCGCTAGATAGACACGCTGCACCGATTACGCTTTATGGAGATCGGAAATAAATCGTTCGCGATAAAATCGACCGATTTCCTCGCAACGCGAACAATGTACCCCGATGTAAAGGCACGACTTGCAGCCAATTTTGTAAAAATACTGCATAAACAATGCGTCATCGCAAGTCTGCAATACTCGATAAATGAAATGGAATCGCTGATAACCGATTGAAAGGTAGCGTATATTTAGCTTTAAACCGTTATACGTAAAAGATAATTATTCATATTACGTGGCTGTACAATACTGATTAACGAAGAGGATTACTCGGCGCTGTTGCGTGCGATATGGGAGACAGGTGAAAATTTTTGAATTTTGATAAATATTTAGTTAAATACAGTGCTACCTAAATATTGATTAAATATAAAGATATATTTATTTGGTACAAGAACCATTAATTTGATTTAACAATCATTTTCTTTACTGAATAGAAATTTGTTTGCTATAAGTAAATGTTTAGTTGGTAGTATTAAACTAAATATTTATTAAAATTGACTATATTTTTTACTCAGTGTAAAAAAATGCAATTGTAGGCCGAAAGAATTCGACATGCCAACTCTCGCTGTCGGTTTTAAGGTTAAATATCGTATTCAAAAAACAAGACTAATGGATCGATCTTTAGATCAAAGTTCGTGCCTGCAATCGGACCTATATGCGTCCTTAATCGTTTGATTGTTTAATATAAATCTTACTCTTTCTCGAAAAGTCACTTCGAACAAAATTTCGCGCGATTTATGCCGATGAAATACATAACAAAATTATATAGTCACGAATTGTTATTGGCATTTCATTTTTTAATTGTATATTAGATGGTTGAAACTGAGTAAAATTATGGTTGAAAACCATCGTGATCCATTTAATAAAAGCATAAAACGGGGATGACCTTACGCGAGTGAGGAATAAAAAATAACGAGATAAAGTAATAAGGGATAAGATCAAAAGACGGAACAAATCGCTCGACGAAATCCTTTGTCAAACGTTTTATTTTAGCGTACGGGGATAACGACCCCGTGAATCAAAATAGCCAGTTAATCCGACGGTAATTACGGGTAAATTCAATCGAATTAATGGTCGTCGCCAGTGCGTCGCGTGAGTTATCGGCTGGCTGCTGCCAGGGACATGAGGCTGGACTTCGTGACCCGATATTGCGTCGACAGTCCCGATATTGGCAACGGCAGCAGCATCACTTCGTAGTCTTGGAACGAGAGGAACAATAGTCAGCACGATGCGCGAGTCGCGCTATCTTTGACACCGCCGATCTCTCTAACCGGCAGAATTCCATCGCGTCGGATTGCGAAAAATATTTTGCAAGATTACCCTCAAGATCACGAGCTTGCCGATAATTATTGGATAAACATTTCTATTAGTCTTTGACAGCCATATAATTAGTCGCACTAGACAAAAAATTTAGCATGCCTTTCAGCAAAACTATTTACTTCAGTGTTGAGGCAATTTTTAATAGTAATAAAACGTCTTGTTTACGTAATAAAGAATATAGTTGCTTATGAAATACATTCCTTTGTAAATAACAAAAATATTTGTTCATATCAACCGAACAATTCAGTTTACATAAAATTACAATTTTATTCGATATATTTTAATTAAAAATTTTCTTCAGCAACATATTTCAATCAAATTTTTGTTGTTATAGCAAAATTTTAGTTCATAGTACAAAACATTTTTCTAAGGGCGATATTGATTACTCGTCTTTTGTGAAAATTTGTGTAGTATTAATAATAAAATAATAATGAGATAGAAAAAGAAATTATTATGTCGAACAAACCTCACTTTCTGTCATCGAAGATATAATAGCTTTCCGTTATGTAAAATGGACAGCTGATAAAAAGCGCATGATCACGCCGGCGGAATATTTCGAGGAATCGTGTCACGCTTTGCATGCCGACGGACGCTGTATTTTTTAAAACGCCTCGGACGGGCCATAAGGCATACTCTCCGTGTCGCGTCCGATTTTATTTCCGTTTCGTTACGGACAGCACGGATAATAACAGCCGGACCCGTGCATTCCTCGACCGCGGGCGCGGAGAAGCGCGTTGAATTTTTGCATCGCGCCGCGCGAAGTGACGTCGCATCGTCGACGGCCACTGCTAATGGACTGCGACGTTTTTACAGGCGGAGTTAAAAGCCCCGACCAGTGACGTTTTGCATGCACACTATATTTATACTTGTGCACTATTAGCCGACCCGATACGATAAGACACGGGTCGTGGACGACCGAGAAAAGATGTTAGAAATGCGAATCGTGTTCGCGTAGAAGTGCTTGACAACGATACAATCGAGAAAACATATTTCTTAAAATATGTGAGAAATTTCTTATCTTTCATGTTTCCGTTTATTTCATTAAAAAAAAAAATGTATAACAAAATAAATTGATAAATAACCTTTAAACGATATCTTTGTAAAAGCACTCGGTATTTTTCAAGTATTTTTCTATTGCTTACAACTCTTTTTATTAATAAAGATACATATCTACATTTGCTTGATATCGTAAACTTATTGCAACTATTTGTTTCAAACGCAACGCCAGTAATTATGAAAAAAACTGGCATTGCGATTGAAATAAAATTATCAGTTTATTTTTAGAAAATTATAAGAGAAGTTATAAATAAAACTATATATTATCAAAATATAAGCATCGAATATAATTTTTCTGTCTTTATCGTCGTATATAATTTAATGTTTTATTCGCGAGAGAGAGAGAGAGAGAGAGAGAGATATTCCTTTCACCTCAAAATATACGTAACATTTCTGCCTCCGAGTCCGCATTAAAATTTTTATTATTTGTAATATTTTCCAGCGCGAGCGAATCACCAAGCATCTCGTGAATTTAACTCGACTCGGAGGAACAGTAAATATTAAATAAAAGCGTGGCTTTTACAGTTAAAACGATTCGCTCCTGCCTAGACTAGAAACGAAAAAATGCGGTCGCGCGATTCCGTGCCGACTTCGAGATGTTTAAAGCGCAATGTTCTTCAACACTCTGGGGTCCTTTTCGCAGGACAGCCTTTCGGACGACGAAATAAAATCTGTGCCACGTAGATGCGAGAGAACCGAGAAGAAACGAGATAGCTCGACGACGACGACGACGTATGACCCAGATGTATAGGAAACAATCGCAAGCAAAAGCGACAATAATGACGACGCTAGAGATAAGTGTGGAATCCAGACAATAAATATGTAAGACTGATATCGCGCCCCCGAGGAAAGGATAACACTGCCCATGTGGGAAGGAGATAGCGACGTATCGATTGCATGCGCGAAATATCCTCCGTTGTTCCCGCGTGGAGGAGCTCGTTTCCCAAGAAACTTCGTTCCGTGTACCTTCCCGCGAAGACAGAACACTTCGAGGACACCTGGGACACTTCGAATATCGACTAGCTAGCGAACGAAGAGGAGAGGTATGGAAATCGTGAGCAGTCCCGCCGATCGCGACTCTCTGAAGATCTCCGTGACACGCTAATTCCTAGGCGAGGATAGTGGCTGACGAAGATACGAAGAAGAGATGTCACTGAATCACAGATATTACGTAAGTAATTTGGATCTGTTTTCAGGAGAAATGGGAAAGGATATAAAACGTCGTAACGATGAGATACGACTTTTATGTGGGATACTAAAATTGTGACATGTTTTATTCGGGGCGCTTAAATTAAAACTGTCGAAAACGCGGATAACGAGAGGTTTCTTTTTATGAGAAATATAATGAGGGAAGATTATGAGAACAAACCCATCTAGCCTTTACGAAATTCTTATACCTAGTTTACAAGCACACTACAATAAAAGTCTAAACAATTCAGACATAAAATAAGTGTTTAATAACAGTGCCTAAGTTAAGTTACTTGGCAAACTAAAAATAAAGTAATATAAGAAGAACCAAAAAAATGGTCGCATCCTCGACAGTAATCATATGCTTACTAATTTATGCTGAACTTAATTAAATTGCTTAGCGTCATATCTCTAATACTATAACGAGAAAATTTTCAAATTCAAACATTTACTCAGAAGATAAGCCGGTTTTTTTTCGCACTAGCGAGACACTCCCCGATTCGCGTCGTTGTATTCATTCTAATGCGGGGAAAAGTTTTTAGTCGCGAGAACGCCGCTGAAGAAGAGCACTCGTCGCTGTAAACTTCAAAGTCGGTTAGTGGATACATCGTGTTGATCTCGCGCACGTCAAAGATGCGAGACAAATATTAAAGTGAAATTTAACCGTAAGATGCAAATTCAAGTAACCTCAATCATTTTCCTCCCAAAAACGGATATTTTAGTTATGAAAATATTATATTCATGGATGCAGTTACTCGAAAAAAATGTATAAAGGTACAATTGAACATTTAAGTTTATTTTTATAATGTATGGTTCAATTTCATAACTCTAGTTATTGTTTGAATTTCTGATTGTCTCGACTAGAATGTTTAATAGATTTAATTATAGCCCGTTTTCACAATATGAGTATAGTTATCTACAGATTAAAAATTATCGAGAAATTAATTAACAAAATTCATTCAAATTAAAATAAACATAATTTTGTGGCTCTAAGAATAAATCAAAAATATAAAAGTAAATTGTATATTTAAGCCCCCGCGGTTGTTAATGCATAAATAATATAAGGCGATAAAATGTAATTCGCAAACAATTGGAATGTACTTACACTATTTACCAACAAAGATAATTACAAACGTTTCGACTCTAAATTTGAGTCCTCTTCAGTGCAGAAGTCAAGTACAAGCTATACTTTGTTCATGATAACCTTTAATTTTTAGATAACCACATATTGTGTGAAAATAGGTTATATAATTAAACCTATCAAACGTTCTAGTCGAGATAACCAGAACTTCAATTACAATAACTAGAGTTCTGCTTGGAATGTAATCAGAATGCATTTTGTTCGCATCTCTTGTTGATACAATCAGAACATTTTTCTCAGCATTGTAATTACGAATAGCGGTACATTAAACTATTTTCGGAGTAAGAAACTCTGCTTCTCGTTCTGTGTTGTGCAAATTACGTTGGCCCAGTTAATAAAGTATGCCGAGATTACACGGCTGTTTCGCGCCAGTGCTACAATGCGGCGTACTGGACGACAAATTCGAATCTCACCGCAGTACGGTGGTTATTGTTCGCAATGGCCGTATCCAGAACATAATAGATAAGCGTGGACCTCGCAGGCCAAGCGACAGCCTTGCCGCTGGATATCGACCGCTGCTGTCTCCTATCCTTCCTGTGCATCTCCCGTGGCGCAACTGCGTCCGAGAAATTAAAGCTATCCGTTTTAAAACCCCTTTATCCTCGTCGTAATATGTCTAAACGGATGGAAAACGTATCCCATGTGCGCTCGGATAATTATGAATAATTCAAATAGCTTCTTCTTCATTACGTTGCCTTTCGCGTGCGAATTTTTCCCTGAATTTCTACAAAATATACCATCGAGTTGTGTATCTCCATATCATTATATAATATCATTAATATATGATCTACGTACATTTCGCGTAACCAATACGTTCGTCACGCGACGCAGGCGAACGATGGCGTTTGATTTTTTTTCTCGACGCGACATCGGAAGTATCGCTCATATGCCGAGTCGGCCACGTTCGCGGCCGAGTGAAGAGAGATTATTTATGTATGTATGCATCTTGTATATCGATTCTCGCGCGCCAACACGACGTATATTATTATTATTACCTTCCCGTGTTTGACGAGGAGACGTAGCGCGCATCAAGAGCAGCTGCAACGACGCGGCCGTGCATGCGGGCGGACATATAAAATATAGCGGTAAAAGTGTCGCTGACACGTTAGAAAAATCGCTACTGCAGCCGAAGGAATAAATTATCGATATACGTCTCTTGTTCCCCACTAAGCCATCGCGCAGAGTTCGTAAAATTCAAGCGGATCGTGTCAAATTTTTCCTGAGAGATAGGCATCCATACCGGTTGAACTTTACGGATTTTCATGTCTATTTCGCTCGTAGGATCAAGGAAGCTGCGGATGTGTCGAAGTTAAAGATCTTTAAAAGATTGGACACTGTTTAGGTATAACTTCTAATTAATTCACCATTTCACTTTTCAAGACTTGCTTAAGATAGAACGAGATAGATGCGTAAGAGAAAAGGAGATGCGTGGATATCATTCTATCTTATGTACAATCGATCTCATTTCATCTTAAGCAGGCCCTGAAAAATATGGCGGACCAAGCATGGTGTCCGATTTCTTACTTGATCACTAATCGAGATAATTATTATCATGATGAGAAGAAACGATAACACCAGGAAAATTAATGTTCGCTAAAAATTCGATTAATAAAGTTGCGATTAAGTGCACGACTGATTATTTTGTAAAATGTTTTCTGAACAAAAGAAAAGATCAGCTAAACAGTTTTCTATAAAGTTATCTTCTCTTCGTTTCGACAGAAATGATTAATTGTAACGTGAGGAAAGAATTGACATTAAAAATAGTTAAAGAGCAAATAACAGAGAAGTAATTTAAATGACAGATTCAACTGAGCGAAGAATACGAATGGGAAATATCGGGGCAGAAGAAATTTCTGTCGCTTGTATTCGGTCTCTGTTTAAAATAGGTTTTACCATTAACAGACTGTCTACTAGAGACGAACGACAGTGGTAATAGGTTCAACTCTTTTAAGACGCACGGTATTCCGCGAATTCTGCAGGGAGGACATCAAAGTCGTTATTGTTAGCTGGCAAGAATACTTAGCACTTAACAACGAACAAAGGTATCGGGCATCAAAGACTCTTTGTCGGGAAAAATTATTACATAGAATACTTACATAAGTATTCATATACACGTACAGATATTGTTTAAAAGCCCTGCATTTAAATCGCTGCTTTAAATCATAGAGACATTGGACAGCAATATTCTTTGGCAGGAACCCCAAGAAGTTTCAAGTTACAAGCGATTAAGAATTAATCATTCTACCGAATTAAGATCTGAAACTGCAGACGCAAGCGATTGAAGTATTAATTCCTATGGAGGTATATTAATTCTTAACATACGGGCTATCAAGAAGTTTTCAGTCATAAGGGACTAAAAATTAATCAATTCGCCGAATTAAGATCTGAAGCTGCGGACGATCGATTGAAGTATTAATTCCTGCGGAGATATATTAAGTTTCTTAGCACGCGGGGGGAAGTTTTAAATTATGACCAATTAAAAAATGATCGTTTCGCCAAATTAAGATCTGAAAACGATTGATTACATAAAATATTAATACGTATCTGCAGAAGTATATTAAATCTCAGTACGCAAAAATATTACTAATATGAGTCAAGGGCAGTGCTTCATTTCTCGAACGCACGTCAGTCGATCTCATCGTGCGAATTGATGACCGTACCGATATTTCGCATTCCACGTTCGTGAAATCCAGGTGATCGGTGTTGAATGATCTGCAGGTTCGCACACGTATATTCATAGACAGAGCTCGGGCATCACGTGCGACGCAGACGCTTTAACGCGTTAAACACGCGTGCAAACCTGCTTTACGTGTTGCACACGCGCGACAATCCTCTGCGCCGATCGTGCTGCATTGTTCTTTTGCTCTGTCGGCCCAGACGCTTTAAAGGCAGCTGAATCATCTCCTATTCGTAGACGAGGGTGCGCGCTAAGCATCAGAAATGACTCTAATAATCATTAGAACTGAAATATCATGTTTATGCTAATATATCTCAGGATTATATGCGCTCATCTCGCGATAGTACGGAAGATAGGCAATCGAAGATGAGCATTTGACAGGTTTTGAATATAAAGTCATATGTAAAGAGATTCAGATTTGAGATACAATATATTTTTTTTACGTTCATTTTCTTTCCTTTCACGTTTCCTTTTCATACGAAATTCTCGTTTTGTTACGAATAATTGATGAGATATGTAACTTTCTATATAAAATTCTCATTTCGTTGTGAATAATCGTGACATATAAATATTCTAACATAAGGAAAGTGCATAATTTATGCCAGTTTTCATTAATGTAGGTTAACCAATGTAAATTAATTTTGGCCAAATTCCATAATTTTTCCAGACAAAATTTTATGATTTTTCCTGACTTCCAATAATAATTTGAAATTTTTTGTATTTTTTATTTCAAAACCGTTAATAGTTTTTTGAAACAGCAATTTAACATAGTAAATTACTATTAATGTTATTAATTACTATTAATGTTACTAATGCTGCTTGCATTTAATTGTTGAGTTAATATTTCAAAACTACGTAGTTAATGTACGCACATCAGACTTCTTTAAAATCGAGAATTTCTAATTTCCAGAAAATTTTACAAAATTCCTGACTTTCTCTTGATTTCCTCGACGATCTTCAATTTCCCTGACATTTCCCTAATCTCCTTGATTTCCATTTTTGTGACAATCCTGACTAATTTTAATCTCGTTTCGACTTACTCCTTTTCTAGTTCAAAGAATTCGAAAAAGACGACGAGCAAGTTGAACCGAGATTAAAGTTAATCTACATTGGTGGAAATGGGCATTAAGATGTCAAATTTACGCGGACAAGATTTGCGACTGTC